TAGTTGTTTTTTGGGGGTTTTTTTTTTTTTTTTTTTTTTTTTTTTTAGGACATTGTGTGTTAGAGAGAGAGAGAGATTATCAAGAACTAAGTGAAGACGTAGGTATCTGATTCAAAACTACAGAACTCGGGGCCACACAGGAACAACAGTTCATGCTGTGGGTGGTGTGGGGACGCTCACTTCCTCCCTGTGAGAGTCTTCCAAACCTGGGTGACTACCATCAGTCCGGACCCGGATTGCCTATCCATTTAACCCAAAGTTCTCGAAGATAGCCTAAACTTGACCTCGTGGTTTTCTGTGTGAGGGGGTCTGCAGTGTGTGCTCGTCTGCTGTCCGCAAAGTGGAGCAAGGCCGACCAGGTGACAGGTGCTGACTGGGGCCAGATGAGGTCACGTTTGCCCACTTGCACACCTGTGGGAGCAAAAGTCCTGAAAGTGGGGCCCTCAGGAGGATGCCAGAAAGTCAGATAAAGCAAAACCCACTGGGACCACAATGGGAATGCACAGGTGAGATGCGCCTTACCTTCTCCCGGGTGTGCAGACTCTCTGCAGGGCAGACACACACCCAGATGCGCCTTACCTTCTCCAGGTGTGCAGACTCCCCGCAGGACAGACACACGCCCAGATACGCCTTACCTTCTCCCGGGTGTAAAGAGACTCCCCACAGGGCAGACACATGCCCAGATGCATCTTACCTTCTCCCGGGCGTGCAGAGACTCTCCGCAGGGCAGATACCCTGCCCATACGTGCCTGGCGTGAGTTGAAGCCACCGGGTCCAGGACTCGAACCGCGTTCGACTACATGGGAGTCCAGTAACACAGTCATTATGCCAACTGCTGGTCCCAATCCTCGCAATCTTAACTGAAGGACCGTCAGTCTGCAGAGAAGGCCCCTCTGTCAGCAATGTGTCAGGACCTGGTAAGCCCAGTCAGGTGGAGCTACCGACTCACTGATCGGATGCTTCCTGAGCAGCTTTGGGGTACATTTAGGGGACCCATTTCACTCCAAAAGGACAATGTTGGTCCTGAACCATCCCCAGCAGCAAAGCCCGTACAACAGCGTGGGCTCCCAGATTTACACTAGGGTAGACCACACTGGTCTGCTCATGGCGCTGACTGAGCCTTGGGGGTGAAAGAAGGAAAAGCAAGGCAGGGAAGAAACAAAATAGCTCCCAGCGACTCAGCCGCGGCCTCTCCCCGTATATCACACGTATTGTTCCTGGTCCTGAGGACAAACTTGGAAGGGAGACTTTATTCTCCTACGAATCAGGAAGCTGAGGTTAAGGGACTCGCCCAAGGCCAGTTTCTTATTTAGCAAATATTCACTCTTCACCAGGAGCTGTTTTACAAAATCAATGCTTTTCTGCCTGTGCAGAGCTTACGTTTCAGTGTGACGTTTCTCAAACCCTTGACGATTATAACTCATGGTAGGATTTACATATTAGACTATCACACGATCTGTGCATCACGTAAATACACGCGCATGCACTTGAAACGCCTTACACACACACGCACTTACTGGAAGCAATGCCTTCTCTGGTATTTTCTTTTCTGCTTTATCTCTCCCTTTTTAAAGCTTGTCATAGCCAATTAAACTGATTTACAGTCTACTAAGTCACAATCCGCAGTTTGAAGACATGGTCCTAGCTGACCTGAATGGAAGGGAAGTACTGTTGACATTCACCAGTGTTTCTGTAAAGGCCGGGAGTCATCAGCACCTTTCTCTGTGTGGCTTAAAGGTAGAAGAAGGGGGCCAGTCCCGTAGTCCAGTGTCCAGTGCTGTGCAAAGAAAGCTGAATCCCACATGGCCGACCACAGTTCAAATCCTCTTCCTTCCTTATTTTTCTTTTTTAAAGTTTTTTGCTATAGGGCGCATGTGCTCACCAGAAAGATAGAGAGAGAAAGAGAGACAGAAAGTGAGAAATCACCCCCCAGGGGGGATGGTCATGCCACAATCCCTTCTCCTCCATTCTCCTCCCGGGATCTTGGGCACACACGCACACGTGCCCGGCATGAGTTTAAGCTGCCAGGTCCGGGACTCGAACCACGGTTGACTACATGGGAGTCCAGTGACATAGCCATTACGCTAACTACTGGTCCCAAATCCTCTTCCTTCTTGAATGCCATGCTGAGCACATGTGCACGCATGCGAACTCCAACAACACAGAGACACGGAGGAAAAAGGAATGTGGTGTAGCCACAGCCTGTCAGGGAATGTTTTTTTTCCCTCTGAGGCAAGCACACACGCCCTGGAGAAGTTAGTTCATCAGTTCATTAAAATAAGTTACATGGAGGAGAAAGAAGACAGGAAGTGGGAGGAACCACGCACCTCTTGTGCGTGCAATGGCTTTGTAGAGGCCATCTGACTCCAGCGGGAACCCCAAGGTCCCCAGACACCATCTCTTCTCCCCTGAACACCATCTGTGTGCTCCCATGGGTAGCTCTGTGCTTTTCCTCTTTCCTCTAACCCTTGTTCTCGCCCGCAGGCTGACCACAGAGTATCCAGGCCACTACGGGGAGGAGATAGACATGGTCTCCTACAATTACGATTACTACATGCGAGGAGCCACAACCACCTTCTCCGCAGTGGAAAGGTGAGGAGGTGGCCCCTGCCCCCTGCTAGGGCTAGACGGGCTGGGAGCGGCTCCTGCAAGGATCGTGCTTTGGGAATTCGATCTGGAATCTTCCCTTCTCTGGTTTTCTACTTGATCAAGAGCTAACTGAGGGTTTGGCTGGACAGCAGAGGGCAATGGGGGTGCGCTGTTCTCACGCACTCATCTCACCCTCGGCGAGGAAGATGGGTCCCAGCCGACTCCAGAGCAGAGCCCTGCATGTGGCGCCCTGGGTCTCTGCACACTCTCTCTTACTCGGCTCCAAACAGCACTTTTTCTCACCAACCCACAAAAGGAAAGGGTGACAATGGCTGGACCCTCTCCAATCCTGGGCCTACGCTGGGATTCAGTCCCCCTTCTGGGATCGAATCCTCCTCTAGGAAAGGAGGGAAGAAAAAGGAGGAAGGGATTGGGGAGGAGCACACAGGAGCTCCTGCCGTGGCCTGGTTGGGTTGCTGTAACACAACATCCAATGTCTATAAACAACGGGAACGGATGCAGCTCTGGAGGCAGGAAGCCCAAGACCGAGATCTGGCAGACCCCGCATCTGGTTCTGGCTCTCCTCTTCCCAGGATCGAGATCTGGCAGACCCCCACATCCGGTTCTGGCTCTCAGCTTCCCAGGCAGCACTTCCTGGCTAGTCCTCACGTGCTGGCAGGGTCACGCCAGCTCCTTTCTACCTTCCATGGGGCACTAACCCCGTTCATGAAGGTAGAGCCCTCTCACAGAATCCCGTCCCAGAGGCCCCATCTCTTAATTCCATCACACCGGGATGGCGTTTCAGCGTGTGATGTGGGGACACCAGCATTCATGCCATCACACCCACTAATGACATTTAGACATGAAAGAGGGGCGACTGTGTCTCCACACAGCTGGGAATCTTTTTTTCTAATGCAAGAAAAGAGCTTAGATAACCTACAGAAGAAAACAAGGCTGTGTTCCTTTCCTTTCTCCCCCATTCAGCGTACATTAACTCACTAAATGATCGCTATGATAAATTCGAATGTGATTACTGTTTTGTGTCTATTTACATTGTCAGATGAAATTGCATCTCTTAGCTGGAGCTAACTTATTTAGTATGACCTAGAACTTAAAAGAGAGCGCGCGCGAAGATTGAGTGACTCTGAGAAAGTGCGGACGGGCTGCAGGCTCCGTTGCCGCTCATTCCGCCCAGTTCTCACATGTTGCTCTCTTTTTTTTAGAATTATTTATTTAATTTTATTTATCATTATTAATACTTTTTAATTTGCTACAGGGCATGCATGCTCACCAGGCTGAGACAGAGAGAAAAAATGAGAAAGCGAGCCTCCAGATCTGGGACTCAAACCCCGTCGGCATCTGGGAGTCCATCACCTTAACCACCACACCACCTGCCAGCCCCACACACATGGTTCAAGTTCTGTCCCTGGTGGCTTAAAACACCCTCTAGGCCCATGTGCACGTGTGTCCCAAATCCCAGCAGGATGGAGACATGGAGACGGGACGGCATGTACTACACCCTACTGCAGAGGGGTGGTGCTGTCTCCCTCTCCCAATTCCTCTGCCTGTTTCTCTCTGGTGAGCACATGTGCCCCTGGCAATTAAAAAAATAATCCCCAATTCCCATTGACAGAAAAGTTCAGTTATCTGGACTGTTCAGAATCGTGGAAAACTGAGACATTATGTCATGGCATTGGCTTCGAATGAATATTCATCCAAAACAAAACGAAATGAATACATCCTTATGCAATTTTGCTGCTGTCACTAACAGTTGGTGGCCTCAAGATCACAACTCAGGGTTCTTCAGCTCTGCTGGGAGAAACCCTGTCCGTTCAGGACTACCGGGTGAGGGCTTCCCTCCGCCTGCAGATCGGGCGGTTCCCTCCTGGAATAGTTTTTGAGCTTGCACACTGGCCATCTGGTGCCAGCGAAGTCTTTGCCGCAGGGTCTGCCTTGGGCTTCTAGATGGTTAGCCTCCCTCCCAATGCCCTCAGCATTGCACTCCCAGCTGTAGCAACAGAAATGCTGCCAGGCGTTGCCTAGTATCCCCTGGGAACAAATCTGCCTCTGGTTGAAACCACTCTCCTGGAGGAAAACCAGATACTGAAACTGAATGAATCTCTGGTCCTCCTAGGGCCAAGGCTGAATTCTGATCAGCTCCATTTACAGCCTCTTGAAAGAGAGGTGGGACTGCCTGGTCAGGAGAGCTTGTCGGTGCACAGCGAATAGAACCTGGACACAATAAGTCTGGTTGGTAAGCACACATGCCGCCAAGTAGCTAATCTCCACCTAAAACAAGCTATGCCCTCTGGTGACGATGGCAGAAACAATATTGGGTAGACGACCCAGTAGTTGACCCCCAAGCTCTCAAAATTTGTGCTGGGGACCCTATTCCCAGTGGCTCTGCACCAACCACCTGGAGTGGCAGACAGAGTACGAAGCCTCCCTGGGCAGGATGAGCACAGGGCACCTGCCTCCCCTAATGGAGCAGCCAGTGCCGCTTTCGAACCCAGAGGACTGACAGAGGCCTTCCCAGCTGTAGGGTCAGGGTACACTGAGCTGTTCCCTTGCAGATGGAAAGGAGGAAGGACAATGGCGAGGTTGAGGACCTCGTCATGCTGGGACACATGGAATGACTCTTTCTTTCTTCCCTTTGTCGGGACTGTGCGAAGGACGTGTGTGTCATGTCCTCAGGCCAGGTTGTGGTAGCTGGGTGGGGAAGCAGAGTGGTAGCAGAGAAAGACCAAGATTTGAGCCCAACAAACTCAGAACCTGGAGCAGGTACCTATAACTTATATTACCTCAAAGCTAGTCACTTTTTTCTCTGCACCTGCTCTTCTAGACAATGAATCAAACGAGGGTTCAGTGAGGAAGCACGCGAGCCATCTCACACAGTCCCACACACACTGACACGCTCAGGAAACAATAGTGACAATGAGCACCGTCCTGTTGAGGTCTTACCCGCAGGGGTGCCGCAGGGCGTTTTGGTAAACGGACAAATAAAGAGCATAGTTGCCCTTGCAAAGAACATTCCTTAAAATCCACCCACACCCCGTCTTTCACTTCTGAGCGATATGTGTGCACCCCCACCATCCCAACGACTTAAGCCATAGCTCTCATGCCAGGATGGCATTCCCAGGATCTGAGAGCCATCTTCCTCACTTCATTTCTTGGAATCGTGTTGTTTGAAGGAAGCCATGGGTGTAGCATGGAGCCCACCCATAGGGAGGAAAAAAATCAGAGAAAGCGGATAGCTTTTTTTTTTTTTTAAGAATTATTTTATTTAACTTTATTTATTCATTTATTTTAATTTGATGAGAGAGAGACAGAATGAGACAGAGAGAGAAAGTGAGCGAGCAAGCCGCCGGGTCCAGGACTCCAACTGTGGTTGGGCACATGGGAGGTCAGCACCCTAAACCACCATGCCACATGCCCGCCCCTGGTGGCCTTTATTTTTCATTGTCAAGGAGTCCATGCACCCAATAGAGAGACACAGAGAAAGAAAAAGAGAAAGAGAGAGAAAGAAAGACAGAAAAGGAAAGAGAAAGAGAAGAAAAGAAAAAGAAGAGAAAGAGAAAGAGGATAAAGAGAAAGAAAGAGAAAGAAAGGAAGAGGGAGGAAGCATCCCCAATGGGATGTGGTCATACTGCAATCCTGACTCCCCCATTTCTCTATCCCATCAGGATTCAGGGTGCGCACACGTATGTCTTTCAAGCCACCGGGGCAGGATTTGAACTGTGGCTGGACATGTAGGATCCAACTCCCTTAACCACCAGGCCATAAGGCTGGCCCTAGATAGCCTTGTAAAGGAAGATTCTTGGCAGTGAAATGACGTTGGATAAATGCTTCATTCTGAGCTGTTCGCCTGTATGTCCTTGAGGTTCTGAGAGTCACATGACAGCTGTCTGGCGAGTGGATGGGAGCCCCCCTGCTAGCCACCTAGCCAGCACCTTGAGGGCAAGCTGACCTCACAATCTGTCCTTCAGAGACACCGTAGAGCAGTCTTCTAGGAGCAGAGCGGGGTCAGATGTCCCTTAGCGCCTGGGTGTCCAAATGTCCTTCGCCGCTCTTGGCGAGCAGAGGTCCCTCCCGTGGTCTCTCCCACTGATGTCACTGCCTCACCTCCCCGCAGGGACCGCCAGTGGAAGTTCATCATGTGCCGTATGACGGAGTACGACTGCGAATTTGCCAATGTCTAGAGCTGCCTGGCACCAGGGCCGGGTGAAGCACCAGGGCCGGGATGGAGGGCACCCCGCTCATCAGCGTCCTCGGAGACCCCACAGCTGTTTCTGCTGCTCTTTCTTTTTACCTAGGCGGCTGCAGCAATGCCAGCTTCCTGGGCCTTTCCAACTACTCTCGCACTCGTAATAAGCCCACAGACACTACTCTCTCCTGACACAGGCCATCGCACCCGCGTCTGGGGCTGAGGACGCACCCTGCATGCACTCGCGCAGCCGTGCTCGCCGCAGGGCTTCTCCAGCACCCCCGCGGCCTCGCTTCTGCTCTCACTACAGAATGAGTGCAGCTCAGCGTCTCGGAGGCGCGGGGAGGTGCAGCGAGGAGTCCCTGCAGCCCCGTGTGTCTGGGTCACACCCAGGACCTCGCCGAGAGCTCCCTCCACGTGAGCCAGGCGTGCCTAGCCGTCCCATGCAGAGCTCTGCGCCCAGGGTGAGGGGCTGGGAGGTGAAGTGGGAAGGTGGGGCCATTGGGCAGAACTGAAAGACTTAGGGTTGGAGGGCACCCCGACTCAGAGGAGGAAATTTAGCGCACCCTGTAACAGAGACGGCAGGTCTGGCGGGTCCCGTGGGATTGCCCCAGCCAGTGACAGCCAGGGAGAAGAGGGATGCCAGAGAGCCGGACTTGGAAGACCAGAGCAGCCAGGCCACAGGTGCTCAGAGCACACCCGGGACCCGAGCAGGCTGGCACGTACCCGGAGGCCCGGGGAGCCTGGCACACACCTGGGCTGTCCTGATTCCCACGTGGTCTGACAGGTCGTCCTGGGGCCCACTGTCACCTGTGTGGCTCAGGAGTGTCCTCTGCAGAGGCGACGCTCTCCTCTCCTCCTGTGATGTCTCTGTCCCCACCCTTTGTACTCGCCTCATCACCAAAGAAATAAAGCCACGAACGTTCACTAAGCCGCAAGGATGAAGAGTCGGTGTCTGCTCTCTGCCCATCCCTTTCCAAGCTTCACCCATTCCTTCTGATTTGTGCCAGCACCGTGAGGCCTCCATGAGTGGGTGGCCTCACAGGGGTGACAATGGCAGAGCGAGACTGGGGAATCGATACTCAAACCATCAAGCGCCAAGTGCCCTGCGTCAGGGCCGGGCACAGGGTGGAGCTGGGCTTCTTTCCCGAGTCTAACCTGCCCGTTTCCCCGCACCCTGCTTCCCCCTCACCTGGACTGTCATGTGCCCTTCCAGTCCTGCAGTCTGCCTCCTCTTTCTGCTCCGTCCTGCCCTCCTTTATCCTGTCTCCCTGTGCCTGGAGAGCAGCAGCCAGGCAACCAGAGGCCACCGCCTGCCCTACACCACCCTGGGCAGGCAAGGTGGCGACCCTGCTGCTGGCAACTCCAGCGATGGGGAAGGCAGAGCCGGTGACGCCCTCTGTCCCACTGCAGACAGGGGGCTCTGCCTTAGTCCCCCCATTTCAGTGTGCCTGCCTCTCCTGGCACTGTCCCTTCACAGTGAGGAGCTTCACAGCGTCACCTCCCACACAGGGGGCCATTAATATTTCAGCGATTGCAGAGCGGGCTCAGGAGGCCAACCAGGAAATGAACTTCCTTGGCCGGGGGTGTGGGGTGCCCAGCGGGCAGGAGAGGGTGTGGAGTGAGGCGGGCCTCCTCCAGAATGGAAGCGCGGGCTGGGGCGGTGCCATGGGCCAGGAAGGAAGGGCTCCCCAGGAGGGGCGAGGGAACACGCAGCAGGAGGGAGAGACCCAGTGAGATGTGTCTGCGTGGAGTGTGACAGACGTAAAGTCTCACTGAGGGAGAGCTTTCACACGGGGCCAAGGACAAAGATGGGAAAGAGGCCGACGATTTAGGTTGGATCTGAATAATTTACGCTCTTATTACCATACATCCATCCAGAGAACTAAGCCTAAGCCTCAGCCCGAGGCCGGATCCAGATCTCTGCTGCGGGTTCCGGTTCTCTGTCACCTCGGTGTCCAGCCTCCCACGGCCTTGCCCCACCGTAGGGTAAGCCATCTCCCCTCCCTAGGCCTGCCGTCCAAAACGAGGTGTTGATCTGGGTGACCACTGTCATTTCTTGAAATTCTACTGGGTTGTCAAGAAAGTCAGGATGGATTTTTTCATGCTTTTCGATGCAAAAGTGCGCCGTGACTTTTCTGACGATGCAATAGAAGCCGATGAACTCTGCCTCTGCCCGAAATTGTTTCTAAAGGGATTCACTTGCTAAGGCTTCTTCCAGGCAAGACACCCGGAACTAGTTGAAGACTAGGCCCTCCGCCTGGCTCTGAGCGCAGGCAGCTTGTGATGTGAGACCATTTCCTCGTCTGCCAGCACAGACAGAAATGCCTTCCCCAGCAGCTTCACCAGACGGGCCACATGGAATGAGAGGACGACAGAAGACCAAGACCGACAGGACTCCCGCTTCCCAAGGCCCACAGCCCACGGGAGATTAGCATAGACAGCGGAGGTGAGCGCAGGAGCCCTTCCCGAGGGAGCCCGGCTCCACTTGGCCCTGAAAGACAAGTGGGATTCCATAGTAAGCAGAAGAGACCGTGGGCTCCGGATCCAGGCCGCCTGGGTGCAAATCATGGTTTGTCACCGTGACTCAGCCACCCCCTCTTCTGAGACTGTCCCCTGCCCCACAGAGGTGCCGATGGTACTCATGGTGGGCTGCTGTGAAGGGGATGAGCTCGCACCCTCTCACGCAGAGCATGCGCCAAGCAGATGTAGTGAGAGAAGAGGAACAGGTGGTGTAAGGGCTATGTCGCTGGACTCCCACGTATTTGACTGCAGTTCGAATCCTGGACCCAGTGGCTTAAACTCACGCCGGGCACGTGTGCGTGCATGCCGAAGCTCCCAAGAGGAGAATGGAGGAGAAAGGATTGCACCATGGCCATCCTTCCAGGGGGTGATTTCTTGCTTTCTGTCTCTCTGTCTTTCCAGCAAGCGCACATGCCCTATAGCAAAAGCCCTTCCAAAAAAGAGAGAGATGGAACTTAAGTTGGCTCTTATTCATTTATTCGGCCACCGAATCAATCAGTTATTCAGTGATTATTAGAAACTACCCAATAACCTAGGAAAAGTCCCTGTACTCCAGACTAGGATTATCACCTGAAGGAGTCAGACAAGCCCTCCCACTACAGCTCAGCCAAGAACAGGGGCATTTCAGTAGGGCAGGTGAGGGCTAGGGTAGGAAAGGGTGGGAGAGTTCTGGGCACGGGAACAACATGATGGAGGTATACAGGAAGTGAGCCCAGGGAATTCTGGCCTCACAAGGGGGTCCGGAAGGCCCGACTCACAGTCACAAGGCCCTGAGGAAGAGTTGGAAGCTCACGTTGCACCAGAAGGCATTCCACCACTGGAACATGTTCACTCCAATTTATTATCTCTGTCTATACTCAGACGTAATCTGGGGGCTCCTGGTCCTGGAAATCTAAGGAGGAGATGTACTGGCTCCCCAGAGCCATGGCCAGGAGCCCCTGCTTCCCCGGCATGGCACCCCACATGGGTCAGTGCTGGACTGCTTTCACCCACACATTCAAGTCCTCCGCAGACGGTGTCCTCACAAAACTGTTAGTGAATGTGCATCAGTACCCTGCGACCCCCCCAGAAAATCAAAACTGTGGTCATTACTGCCCTGCAGGTACCTGCTTGGTCACCGTGAAATTAGTGGTTCCTGCCTGATGGTCCCCATCTAGTGCCAAGCCTGCCTGGCTCTCCTCTCTGTCAGCACCGCCCACTCCCGACAGGGTGGCCAGCACGGGGCCCGCAGGACAGAGGCTGTGCGGTCCATAGCCCGAGACCTTACCAAGTCTCCGTTCTACTCACTGGTTGATTGCATGCGAGAGGGCACAGGTACTCGGCAGAGAGACGGCAAGGCCAGGAGGGTAAGGACGGGGAGCTTGCTCATGCCTTCTCCTCCTCTCCCATCCTTCAGGATTTGGGGCACTCACACAGGGAGCCACCGGTCTAAGACTCGAACCCTGCAGTCGGCCATGTGGGACCCAGCTGCCTTAACCACCAGGCCACAGAGCCAACTCCAGTCTCACCATTAATCCAACCTCTTCTGCTTGTTCTGCCTACCCAAGTCACACTGTAAAGGAGCGCTATGGCAGTGGTTACCAGTCTGGACTACAGGCTGGGGCCGGGTAAGCAGACCCTTCCCAGAATGATGGCCAGACCTCCATGGCGGGTGCCCCTACTCACTAACCTGCTGGGCCCTGCTGTTCAACACATTCCTTAGAGCAAGGATGAGAAAACGTGCCTACCTCAAAAGTCAGCGTAGGGAATTCCAGTGATGGTTTCACACAGAGCTCAGATGTTCGTGGCACTTGACTTGCACAGAATGGAAACCCCTGACAATGGGGAACCAGCCCCACTCCCTGTTAATTTAAACCCCGATGCGCGGTCCACTGCGCCTGGCTGAGTGCTTGGCCCCATCGTGGTGCGGCCACGTCCTGCTCACAGGCCTCGGGCTGCCCCCGGAGGGGCCCGGGCACCAGCGTGAGCGAGTAACTGCACCCGTGAGGTACTGGGTAGAAATATTCCCAAATGCAAGTGCAATATCCTCTGGATTGGAGCATTGCTGTTCATTTCTATATCCTTTTTCTTTCTTCCTTTTTTTTTTTTTTTTTTTCTGATGGTCCCCATCTAGTGCCAAGCCTGCCTGGCTCTCCTCTCTGTCAGCACCGCCCACTCCCGACAGGGTGGCCAGCACGGGGCCCGCAGGACAGAGGCTGTGCGGTCCATAGCCCGAGACCTTACCAAGTCTCCGTTCTACTCACTGGTTGATTGCATGCGAGAGGGCACAGGTACTCGGCAGAGAGACGGCAAGGCCAGGAGGGTAAGGACGGGGAGCTTGCTCATGCCTTCTCCTCCTCTCCCATCCTTCAGGATTTGGGGCACTCACACAGGGAGCCACCGGTCTAAGACTCGAACCCTGCAGTCGGCCATGTGGGACCCAGCTGCCTTAACCACCAGGCCACAGAGCCAACTCCAGTCTCACCATTAATCCAACCTCTTCTGCTTGTTCTGCCTACCCAAGTCACACTGTAAAGGAGCGCTATGGCAGTGGTTACCAGTCTGGACTACAGGCTGGGGCCGGGTAAGCAGACCCTTCCCAGAATGATGGCCAGACCTCCATGGCGGGTGCCCCTACTCACTAACCTGCTGGGCCCTGCTGTTCAACACATTCCTTAGAGCAAGGATGAGAAAACGTGCCTACCTCAAAAGTCAGCGTAGGGAATTCCAGTGATGGTTTCACACAGAGCTCAGATGTTCGTGGCACTTGACTTGCACAGAATGGAAACCCCTGACAATGGGGAACCAGCCCCACTCCCTGTTAATTTAAACCCCGATGCGCGGTCCACTGCGCCTGGCTGAGTGCTTGGCCCCATCGTGGTGCGGCCACGTCCTGCTCACAGGCCTCGGGCTGCCCCCGGAGGGGCCCGGGCACCAGCGTGAGCGAGTAACTGCACCCGTGAGGTACTGGGTAGAAATATTCCCAAATGCAAGTGCAATATCCTCTGGATTGGAGCATTGCTGTTCATTTCTATATCCTTTTTCTTTCTTCCTTTTTTTTTTTTTTTTTTTTTGGAGAGGTTTTTGCTATAGGGGACATGCGCTCACCAGAAAGACAGAGAGAGACAGAGAGACAGAAAGCGAGAAATCACCCCCCAGGGGGGATGGCCATGCTGCAATCCCTGCTCCTCCATTCTCCTCTCGGGATCTTGGATACGCACGCACACACAACCAGTGTGAGTTTAAGCCACCGGGTCCAGGACTCAAACCACAGTCAACTAGTCAACTACGTGGGAGTCCAGCGACATAGCCATTACTCTAACTGCTGGTCCCTCTGTATTCTATACTTTTATGCCTTCCCCAACTATTGAGAACACTTGCCATTATGTTTAAAATCAAAGGAGAAAGGTCATCTTAAACTTAATCTAT